CCCAGTTTTTCATGTGCAAGCTATTTACAGGTCCAATACAACATACCTTGCTTCTGCTATTTGTCATTCAGGAATCGAGCCCAAAAGCTTTGCCTGTATCCCATCACCTGTTTCTAACATCATCTTGCATTATGCATAGTCATGTTATCAAGCACTAGCACAACATGTCTAGCTCCCAGAAACACCTGCACATCTCCTTAACTGTCCTGTAACTTGTGGCTTTCAGCACTGACTCCATCCTAGATGGTTTGGGGTGGATGATGGTTCTCTCCTGGTGTGTGATGGTGACGCATGTTCCCCTTGAGTCTCTTCCCATCCCAGACTTGCCCTGTCCGTTGGAAGACATGGTGGAGGGTCAATGGATATGTGGTGGCTGCCTTCAGGCAGCAGCTGGATGGACCCTGGCTGGGGTGTGAAAGGAGAAGGAGGGCACCCTTCAGCAAAACAAAGTGTTGCTGCCACAGGCAGGTACCAGCTATAGAACCAGTACAAGAAAACGTGTTTTAGGCAAAATATAATTAACCTAGATATGGATCTTGATGCCACAAGACAGTGATGAAGCCAAGAGCTTAACAGGACTTTTACAAAGAGGAGACAGTTATGTGGATAATGAGAATAGCCCATGGTTAAAGAAGTCAGGAAACCTTTCTCCCTTGCTGTTTTTCCTTTTTCAAATGAGTGCTATGACCTCTTTATCCCTGAGGGCTTGAATCAACTGTGAACTGTCACCGTTAAGGGAAAAACCTCCCTTTAAGGGCAGATTATTACATAGTGGATTGCTGAGGGTTTTCTGGTACCTTCCTCTGAAGCATCCTGTGGTGGCCAAGAGACCACAACCTGACCATGGGCAGAAACGTTTGGGTCTCCTTTTAGTTTCCAAAACCTGTCAGAGGCCCCAGGCCTCGCTGGGAAAGGTGTCAGGAGCGGGGCCATGGGAAAAGAGAGCAGTGGCGAGGAAGGGCTGGGGCAGAGGGGGATAGCATGTGTGCGGGTTTGCTTGTAATTAGGAGATTTGAACTTCGAAAGGAGTTAATTAGTAATGAAACTTCTGACTGAATGATGCAGACTGTAAAGACCGGCTTTGTCAGCAGCTGAAACTAATTACAGGCTCAGGCACAGGGAAAAGGAGGGGGTGAAGGATGGGGGGGGGGGAGAGGCATCACCGAAAGAAAGATGATAAACCTGGCTGCAGGCTGTTGCTGTGGTGACGGGAGGCAGTTGCCGTGGTTGACAGCGGTGACACATTGAAGGCAGCAGGTACTTCTAATTACCCCCTCCACCGACCCAAGCAGGCAGCAACCCCTCCCGACTCCGGGCAGGAGATGCTCCGGTTTTCTCCTAGCACTTTCTTCCTCTCCGCCGCAGGTTGGATGTGCCTTTTCAGGGCCCCCACCTGCTCTGAAAGGAAAACCGTGGGGTAGCAGCTTTTCCTAATGTCACTTTAATAGCCCGGGAGCAGCCAGCGATTCAGCAGCGTCCTCGGGAAGCCTGGACAAGGCTGGCAAACTTTCAGAGAGCTGGTATCCAAAAAGCAGGAGAGGAGAAATTGAGTGCAGCTGGCCACAGCTTTTGGAGCAAGAAGATGAGGGCCTTGCGCATCTGGCCCAAATTGCAATGTTTTTGGTAGCGCTTGCTGTGGCTGGCCAGGTCTTGTGCTTTGGGGTCTTGCCAGCTGCCCGAAGGCACCCTGCCATGGTTTGTGTGGGCTGGGGCGGGGTACTGCAAGGGGAGCGAGAGGAGCAAAGGGAGCATGGGAGCATCCTGACCACCCACGCATTGCTGCTGCTGAGGCATGTGCACAAAAGTGTAGATCTGTATGAAATAAACCCCTGACTTTGAACCCCTTTGCCTGAATTCCCTGAGTTTGGCTGCCGTCGGAGAGTACTCCCTGCCTCTGGGTCTCTTGTGTAATGTTTTCTGTGTGTTTGCTGAAGAAAAAACCCTGGCTTTTAAAAAAATTTCTGCTTTTCATTTTTTACATATTAATTTCATCTAGGGCTGTTCTAAGCTCTGGCTCTGTCTGTACCTCTCCTGACTGCCTTATGCCCAGGGAGAGGGACTTTCGCAGCTGTTGCCTCAGCCCACACCAAAACTCTTTTGGCCCCTTGAAGGGTGTCATTCAGCACTGATCTCTCTGTCAGGGCTTTGCTGGTGCTGCCTTTCCAGTAGCTGTCAAAGCACCTGCTGCAAAATGGAGAGGCTGAGAGAGCTGGGACTGTTCAGCCTGGAGAAGAGAAGGCTCAGGGGGATCTTATCTGTGCATACAAATACCTGATGGGAGGAGTAAAGGAGACAGACTGCTCAGTGGTGCCCAGTGGCAGGGCAAGAGGCAATGGGCACAGCCTGAAACACGGGATATCCCATTTAAATGTAAGAAAAGACTTTTTCACTGTGTAGATAGTCAAATGTTGGAGTAGGTTGCCCAGAGAGGTTCTGGTGCTTCCATCCTTGGAGATATTCAAAACCCAACTGGATGCGACCCTGAGCAATCTGATGTAGTTTGAGCAGGGAGGTTGGACCAGATGACCTCTAGAGGCCTCTTCCAACCTCAACCATTCTGTGGTTCTGTAATTCTGTGAAAGATGATGCCGAACAGATTTTGAAAAGTCCAGAAAAGAATTGCAGTCTTATTCGAAAAGCCCGTGGGAGCTTATGGAAACCTCTCCAATTGCTTTCCTGGGCTTTGGATCAGATCATTAAAGAAACATGTGAGAGAGAGAAAGGTGGAAAGTTGAAGTTGTGCTGTGTAGACCTCTGAGGGCAAACATTTTATTCGTGCCCTTTTGGTGTATTCCTCTCAGAAAAGGCTTCTAGTTTTGAAGCCTACATCGAGGGTGGGCTCCACATGCATTACTTTGTATAGCACTTGGGATTAACTTAGTGAGGGATAGTGATAACACGTTCTTGAGATCACCTCGTAGCATGATTGGCACACTAGACCTGGTGCCCTGCTCTTGTCTGATTTTGCAACTGAACGTAGCTCACCGAAAACTAGGTGGGGGGAGAAGAGAAAGAATTAATAATCTTCTAGATCAGATTGTGTGGGTTTGTCATGAATCACTGTCAGAGAATGAGCACGGAAGAGTTGCTCAGAATGAGCCTGGATGTCGAATGTCTTTCAGAAGTGAGTAGAGATACAGGCCACCGTTTTGGATTCAGTTCTGCAAGGACTGAAAATGGGTGCACTCGGTGGGTTGTATTTTAAATGGATAATTTCTTGGCTCTGTTATTTTAAATTAAAAAAAAAAAAGAATTTTGTCTGAAAATGGAAACTGAGCAGATATGCTTATGTGAGGTGTGTTAAAATACCCAAGAAGGATGGCTCTGCCAGAGGTTGGAGGTCCGTTCTCATTAGATCTACATCACTGCTTTGCAAGGCGAATGCTGGAAAAATATTGCAGAAATGTGCCCACTTTTAGAGCTAAAATACTGTAAATGAGTTCTTGGATAAGTGTGTATAAGGTCTTAAGACTCCTTCAGGAGGAGAGGTATGGTAAAGAGGAGACAGGTAGAGGTTGTGGAGAGCACAGAGAAGGTCACACAAATAGACCATTTTTATCCTCTTCTGTAATATATAAATGAAGTGGCACTTGATGAAATTAAAAGGCAAAAAATTAAAAATAAATAGAAGAAAACAATTTTTAATGTAAAGTATAATTAGCCATTGTAGCTCATGGCTGCTAACTATTATCGAAGCAGATATTTTAGTAAGATTATCAACAAAGGATTCAAATGAATGAGCAAAGCATCTGCAGGGACATCAGTGTAGCTGAGAAAACAATTATAAGGGCTATCAATCCTCATGCTTTAGGGCATAAACAGATCACCAGCTGGGGTCAGAAATGCAATTTCCCCCCATGATTACTGAATAACTTAATTAGGCACATTGTGGAGTTTTATCCAGCATGGGTCACTGCTGGAAGCAGAATAACAGATTAGATGGACCATTGACCTGTTCCAATATCTCCAAGTTCCTCTCAGAAGGGAAGAGGGAGACTTCTAGCCTTGTGTTGTACCCCCTTCCCAGAAGGGCAGTAATCACTAGGCTTACATAGAGATCCAACTGTCCATTTTGATCTAGATCCCTAGATTATAGTGATCTCTGCTGCATTTGAGTGTAGGCCACCATGGAAAGCCTCTTCCAAGTATTTGGAAGATTCAGTAAACCAATGAAGGAAGGGACTCAGCAAATCAACAAGAGAGGAGTGAGCATGTGTTTAACTATGGCAATGCTTTGACTTGTATAAATATCTTAGGCCTTTGTGCTACCTCTACTTTCCCCTTTTCAAAAGAGTTTTGGCTTAATCAAGGAGTGGAGTAGTGAGGAACTGAGGGGAAAAAAACATAAGAATATAATAAATCAGCCTATCAGCAGTTATTTCCCTTAATCTTCCTATTTTGTCACCCCAAGCCTAGAGCAAGCTTATCCCAGCCATGATGCTTTTACAGAAGTTTTCCTTGACTCTTTTCCACCTGGTTTGAGTGTGTCAGCATGATGGTGATTTTGTTAAACTGCGTTACCCTGGGGATGTACCAGCCATGTGAGGATATGGACTGCCTTTCTGACAGGTGTAAAATCTTGCAGGTAAGCAGACTTCCTTCTTGTTGTGATGGTGCCTCAGTCCAAGTCACAAATTTTCATGCATGCTTTCCTTGAGCGTGTGGGCAACACCTTCCCAGACAGGTTGGCAAGAATGTCCCTGGTAGTAAGCTATCCTGTTGTAAAATGGGAAGAGCTTGCTTTGAGGGGAATGGGGCGAGAGGGATAAGTCTACTTGTGACCATGCAATATAGAACAATGGCTAACCTTCCTGATCTTGTGCATAAGCAGGGGTTTCCTGACATAGACAGCTAGAAGATACATAGCTCAGGGGTAAGCCAGGGAGAAATAACTAAGGTTACAGGATCCTGGCAGGAGAGAATAGCAGCCCCCAATGCATTCACTAGTCTGTTGAGGATGCAAGGGTACTACTGAGTTCACAGGTAACGTGGCATTCAGGATGCCCAAAGGGAGAAGAAACAAAAGGTATGTCAAGAAGGGCCATGGGTACATCCAGCCTATGAATGCACTAGCTGTGCTTGCTGCTTCCCCAAAAAGAAGGTGACAACAAAGGTTGTCATCTATAGTGTTGCTGAGGCTGTGACGTTCAGATATCTGAAGCCTCCATCTGTGATTGGTATATGCTGTCCAAGCTGTGCTTGAAGTTGCACTATGTCCTCAGCTGAGCCATTTGCAGTGGAGTGGTGAGGAATCCCTCCTGGGAGACCTTGGAAGGACAGTGTTTCCCTGGTCAGGTTTGGACCTGCTGGTGCTGAGCCAACCTCCTTTCATGTAAGTCCATGTAAGGAGTCTCTAAGCCTACATCAATTACTTCACCCATGGTGGAAAAAAAACTATAAAAACCCCTTGCTTACTTGAGCAGCAGGAAGCTGTGATGCCAGGGCTGCATGGAAGAAGTCTTTCCAGCCCTGCCTCAAACTCATTTTCAGAAGTACTGAAATTTGTGTTTATCTCACATTCTGTGTTTTAAAGTCTAAGGCTGAGAATGCTTATCAAATGCGCTCTTGGGTTTCTGTTTGGCAGGTATTTGATGATTTTATCTTCATCTTCTTTGCCATGGAAATGGTCTTAAAGATGGTGGCTCTGGGGATCTTTGGCAAGAAGTGTTACCTTGGAGATACCTGGAACCGCCTGGATTTCTTCATTGTCATGGCTGGGTAGGTCAATAGTTCCTGCATTTATTTGTTCTGTGTTTGCTAGAGTCTTGCATGGAACAGAAATGATGTAACTGAAGGGAAAGTTTCCATGGTGGTACTACTCCATTACATCTGCTGAACTGGAATCAGACGTGCTGGGGTTAGCAGTCTATGGAAGAAACAGTAGATAAGGTAGCTTACCTCCCCAGCTGATGTGCAGCCATCTATCTCGCACAACTTCAGTAGAAGATGTTAATTTGTACTAGCTGAAGAGCTAGTCCAGGAACTTTTTTGTTTGTTTGTTTTTAAAATGTCTGAGTGGAAGAGGTGTAACCTTTACCAGAACCAAGCTAGCTTCTCTGTTTCCAGCAGCAGTGTTTTAAAGGTAGGAATGTCATTGTTGTTACTCTGGGCTTTTTGTCTTTGTATTGCACTGGCCTTACCCACACGCATGGTACTATTGGGACAAGTTGACATTTGAGTGTTTTTTACAACAAAGTTGCTATGGTGAAGCTCTGGTTTCCCCTCTGCATGTATGAAGTGGAAAGTCTACCAGGATTTGCCTATTGAATCACAGCAAAATGCTCATCTCTGATACCAGTGGGCATGCGCTTTTTTGGAATTTGTCCATTTTCAATTAGATTGCCTTGTAGTAAAGTTAAAAAACAAACAAAAAAAAAAGTCAGAAATAAATATGTAATATTGCTGTTGTCACAGCAAACAAGTGAACATCTTTTCAGAGAGAAAACCCCACTTTCCTCTTCCTCCCAGCAAGGAATTACCCACATTTGCTGTCACCTGGCAGTGCGTGTATTACTGACTGAGCCAGCAGTGAGTTTGAGCTCACTTTGCAGAGTTTTCCCCTGCGGTGTGGAGCAGCACTGTCTTTATATTTGCTTTTGACACAGTTCTTCTACAGCAAGACTTGAAAGTCATTCCCTCTGGAGGGGCATATAATTGTTTGCTTCTGGGGGGAGCAGAGATTTTCAAACTCAGTTCAGTTGTAAAAGTTTGAAGACTGATTCTTGGCCAGCTTGTGCCTGAAAGGACAGGCAGATGAAAGCTGTAGCTTTTTCTGAATTAATGCAACATTTGTGAGATGGGAAGACCTTTCTTGTGGCTAAGCCTGCTGTGATTAGCATCTGATTTAAAATTGCCCGGCATGGGGACTGCGAGTTCATCAGGAAAGGCTAAGTTAAAGCACCTGACACATGGTGGTGAGAAAAGCCAGATCGTTGTATGTTCTAGCCTGAGCTCCTGGTGGCAAAATTGCTGGTGACTGGATGCAGGGAAAGCGAGACCCTACCACAGCAGCCTTTGAGAAGGAAAGGGAAGAACAGGTGTGTTTGAAAGGGGGACCCTGGAGCCCATGGTGCTCTTCCGTGTGGATGATGCGCTGTGGTATGCTGCGAGGAAGGCTCTGCGCCAAGTGGGCACAGGATTGCTGGTGTATGGGGTAAAAGGCTTGGGAACTGGGGGTCTCGCTCTGCCTAGTGTTCCTGCAAGCATGGTATGTGAGTGGTGCTATCTGGAGAGATGAAGAAATCAGTGGGGCAATGCTAAATGAAAGAGGGTGAGCTCAAGGACTTACTCCATGCAGGAAACAAGTGAAATCCATGCTACCTAGATGAGAAGGGAATAAACCCCATTTACAGGTTTCCCTCTGTCGCCATTGCTGGCAGAAATTTGAGGAGAGAGTCTTTTGTGCATCTGATAGCAGTACTAGGAAAAAAGCTCATATCTGAACTCTTTTCAATGCCAAGGAGACTTAGAATCAACTCCTTAGATATAAAATAATCAGTGTGGAGGATTTTTCATTTCAGGTCCAAAACTGAAAGAAATTTGTTTCCTGATTTCTATACAATTGTCCTCATGAGGTGTCAGGCTGAAATGATAGTAATCTCATTAGAATATCTGATCTCAAGAGACTTCTGCTAAAGAAAGATTTTTCCATTTAGTTATAGAGAACTAATGACTATATAACGTATTTTGAGTTATAAAAGCTTGTGGTTATTAATTCATTATTCTTTGAAATTCATTAAAATTGTCTGCACTGTTTAAATCAAATCCAAGGCTCAAACTTGCCCTTACATACAGACTGTAGGCTTTTATTTAACCTCAGATTTAAGCCCCAAGCATTATCCTGGTTGGTCCCACACCTGGATCATGGCTTCAGCTTACTCTGGGTCCAGGTGCTGCCTTAGCCTTGTGACTAAGAGAAGACATCCTGCATTACATTCTTGCATGTTTTCTCCATGCCAGTGAGTTAGATCCTGATCAGAGGCTAATCAGTTTTCTCTAAGGGCCTTTCCTTTTCATGGTCCTGGACTCTCATTGCCTGCAAGGGAGGTCATAAATTTGGCTCTGAAGAAAACGTCCGTGATGTTGGGAAGCAATGCACTGCCTAAAAGACGTGCAGCTTCTCTCAATTTCAAGAATAAGGACTGTACTTCCCAGCCCCTTCTCTTCCCTTCTCCCTTTCCAAATAAACACCAACAAGGCAGCAAAGGATGGAAGAATAAACTGTAGCATGGAAAAGCAGAGTGCAGGCAAGGGACCATTCTGTTGGGCGTTCCTGGGCAGCTGAGATACCTCCATCTGGCTAGCTGCATGACAGCATGTTTTATCAAAGAGCATAATGATTATTTGCTGCTATTGCCCCAGACGGTGTTTTGGTTACATAAACCATGTATTCAGGCATTCATTTGTAGTTTTCTCCTCACTTCCTTGGAAAGCCAGAAGCTATAGTTTTAGTCAGCTGAATTCCCTCATGTGCCCCTGCCCTGCTTGCTCCTACTCCCCACGCAACCCAGCAGCTCAAGGAGGAAGACTCCATTGTCACTAAAAATGTTCAGTTTCCATGGCGATAGGAGCTGACATCACCAGAACTTTCTCCCCTCTCGCACACTCCCTCCCCCAACCACCTTCAACACATTTTTTTCAGAAAGGATTAGGAAAAAACCCAAAACAACAGTCCTAAGTCAACGCTCTCCTTCATTGTTCCCCTTGGAGCTCCTAAAACCGAGCGAGGTAATTTGGGTTGAAGAATGCCAATGCCCTTGTGCGCACAAGCAGCCAGGGCTGCAAATTCAGCTTGCCGATGCTCCAGTTCCCAACTGCTCACTGGTGACAGGAGGTTGCAGGTTCCCAGACGTTTCAAGCAGACTGTGCTTGTCACCAGCTGTCCTGGTGGGAGTCCCTCTTCCCCTGCGTTTGTGATTAGGTCTTGTCTGGCATCATTTGTTTCCCACAGCGATTGGGTGCATTTGGAGAACTCGATCTGAGGTGACTTCAAAGGGCAGCTTCCTAAAGTTGAGAGCCTACTAAGTTTTGAAAGTTGAGCTAATGTGAACGCTAATCATGTTGGAAGCGCAGGCCAGTGTCTCTATGTGCATGAATTTAGGATAAACGTCACTTGCTTCTGGCAGTTCTCTAGCAAAAAAAGAGTGAGCGAGCAATTTCTCCTGCTTGCTCTACTCTGTGAAGCAGTTGTGTTCATGTGTGGTTGGAGATGGCACCACTGTCCCTCTGGGAAGGGAGATGTTCCTTTGCATGACTGTCCTGAGGGTCCCTGTGCGAGGAGTGAATTCATGCAACCTGCCTGGCCTTGGGGGCATTAATTGCACTGAGGGTGTGTTTGTTCTGCCTCTCTTGAGCCAAGTGCTGTAATTAGTGACCTGTGGTCCATCTCTGCCCTCTTCTGCGGCATCCCCACGACATGTTCTAGTATGCAATTTACTTGTGTAAATAGGTAGGTAGGTTGAGGGGGAGTAAATTTACACATTTACTTGTGTAAATATGTAGGTAGTTTAAGCCTTCACTATGTGGCCAGGGGGATGATTGTGATGACAAGTATGTGCCTAGAATATGTCCAAAACCTTTCCTTAATTACTTGCTGCTTGGAGTCCAATGGCTGAGGAGAGGCTGGTGTATCTTTCAGACAATGCCCCGTCTTTGCCTCTTTCCATTAAGCTGTGGTCAAATCCCATCCTAACCTTGCCTTTGATGGGAGGAATGGCATGACTTTGTATATTTTGGCATTTTAGGATGCACTTGCAGTGTTTTTTAACAGCTTTTAAAAGTGGTGGATATCAGAACAAGACATAGTACTCTGTGTAGCCACTTCAGTGGTAATACAGTCTCTCTATTCCAGCCTGAAATTTCCCTGTTCCTACAGCCAAGGATTGCTGTAGCCCATCTCATCAACCACTGCATCTCCCTATCAATTCATTCAGCTGCTTTCACCAATTGGCTCCAAGCGTGGTTGGTTGGGTTTTTTCCCCTCTCTGTCTCCTCTTCTGAAAAGAGAAAATCCCTTCCTATTAGTAGGAACAGCAAACTTTGTTCCCAGATGTATGCCGTTACATTTGTTCACACTGGAATACATATTATTTGCATTTCCAAAGCAGTTCATACTGTTCTATATCACTGACTTGTCCTCTTCATTTCTTTTTCTGTTCTCCCAAAAATATGCTTCAACTGCAAAATACATCAGTGATTTTTTTTTTTTAAATTTTATTTTCTGCCAGGTTGCGATAGATAAATAAAGAACAGAGCAGCAAGAATTGTGCATTACAGAAGTACATCTGCTCATGAATGAGTCCCCATTTACTGTTGCA